GTGTCCAAGAAGTTCTGCGGTCAAACGCCACTGCAAATAACGTTTGGTTAAATGTCCATGCAATGTGCGTTACTTTAGACTGCTTCATGAAGACTTTAATTTTTGCTGCCGATCAGTAGAAACACTGTCCTCTGTTATCACCTTCGTTGTAATTCTTAGTTATGCCCAGGGTTTAAGAAAGATCCCATGGCCTCCGTAATGGCATCCCATCGTCGCGCATTTCCTGTCTTTTCATTTCTATTTGATGAACTTTTCCACTTCAATTTTTATCCAGTCTGAGTGCCGAAACGCGTTTTCATTCGTTACGATTGCATTTCAGGCCGCACAACGTGGACGAAACGACTATCGAAAACAATTCAACGTCGAAGCGGTTCATTTTTGAACACATTTGTGCCATTTCGCAAAAGTATTGAGCCAAGTAGTCCGAGTGCAGCAGCTGATAAATCACCTTCTTCGCCGCACCATAAACGCCGTGCGAGTGCTGCACCGGCTGTCTGCTTGCAAATTTCTTCTAAGGATGCTCTACCAATGGCGTTACCCTACCAAAAACACCGAAATCCCGAAGTAGCACCAGCAGCTACTGTTATCGCTACAGCTACTACCACAACTTCTGTTACTTCCGCTACCACTACTACTACTACTGCTACTACCACTACTACTACTGCCACTGCTAATTCTGCTACTATCAGCATTACAGCTACTATTCCCGCTACTGCTACTGCTACGACTGGCAATGCTAGCGGCCTAACAACCGGTGTCTCCTCTGGTGAGCTCTTGCACTCTTATGCGTTTTTGCATGCGTAGTCTCGCCTATGTGTGCGTTTTTTCGAATAATCCAGCTCCGGAGCTACAGTATCTAGGAAGATGAAACTCTTGAAATGGAGGCTAATCTACTGGACTCAAAGAAATTGGAAAATCGAAAGCAAAAGTTTAGGTTGAGATATGGGATTATCACTGTTATTTCACAGGACTTATACGAATTTGTCTGCGATTTACCCCACGAGCACATTTTTAAGGCAAAGGTCACGGAGCAGGCGATGACGGGAAACGTAATGAAGAATGGGAAAAGCAACAACAGCAAATGAAAAGACTTCATGTTACCGGAATTGATACCAAGGTATGTTGTTTTTTTACTGCTGCCCTGGAAACCAGTCGCCCACTGATTGAGTTTTTTTTTTTTTTCTGTTTCTGCCTCGTTTAAGGAATGCATGGATTTCTGAAAATAACGTTTAAGGTGGCATTTTGTTCTTCGCATTCACTCTTCGACCATAGCAGAATGAGAGCCATTAATCTTCCCGGCTAATCAACTGAACAAAATTTCTGAAGATGCGTGCATGAGTTTTGCGTGTAAATAATTGTCTCCAGATAACTTTCCCATTTTCGACGTACTTCCACGTGTTAAATTCTGAATCCGATTTTTGCCGCCTCCCCACTTCTCACAGTTTTCTATTCATCGTTTTGTCTGTTGCCGCAGTTTCTTAATAATACTAGCGCCTTGAATTTTGCGGATTTTCAGTTATGGTGGTATACAATAACATTGTTTCAGTCAGCACTGCAAAATTATCATTCTGCTTTTTCCTTTTATTTATATGGCATATTTTTTCATTTTTTCCCGTCCACTTTTCCTTCAATTTCATATACATTTGTATTTTGAATACTCTATGTGTCTTAAATACTCCTATTTAATCAATACCATTGCACGAAATGAGATCCAGATGTGGTCCTGAATAGGCATGTATTCGATTTTATGGACCGACACATTCCTGTTCGTGGATTAATTTATATGCGTTTTTGCTGTGCAGCGCTGTAGTGCTTCTACAGCCAGCAAAAACGCATATTGTCGAGAGGCTGTCTGTGTGTGTATTTGTGTTCAGAAAGCGAGTGCCTACTTTCATCTCAGCAAACGGGAAAGCTGGGAGGCTGAAACTTTGGATATATGTTCTTACCCCGTGTTACGCGTCTAGACCCGGCGTACGGGGCCCGCAAAGAAATGTGTTGGCGGGAAACAGTTTGGCAAGCCAGGCAGCGTAGGAAGCTGGAACTTTGCAGGGATATTCTCTGTGCACGTGCGAGATAAAAATTTTAAACTCAGCTCTCTAGCTCCCCAACCACAGCCTCAAGCAGCTCCAATCTAAAAATCGTCAGTAACTCGGACCTGAACCGCAATTGCATATGCAAATGAACATGGATTTTTTGAAAAACGGCTCTTCGAGCAATACTTTCAATTTTTAATGAACTGAAAATTTGCATATTTTCAAAAAAATCGTTCGCAGCTCGGACCTTAATCGCAGTCGTATATGTAAATGAACGTGGATTTCTTGACAAACGACCGCTCGGGCAATACTTCCACTTTTAGTGAACTGGAAATTTGCATTTTTTCCAAAAATTTGCATTTGTCATTTTTTCACAAAGCGAGCATTTGCCGAAAAAACGACCGGACTTCATGCAAAAAACTGGTACCTGGATGTCCGTGCGGCTCTATAATGCACCACCTTCATCCCAACTGACGCCCTTTTTCCTGCATGCCGGAAGGGGCCAAAGCACGGCCAATATGAGCCCAAGTGTTAGCTACAGCGGAGGAATCATTCTTGCTAATAGCGATCTGCGAGTTTAGTGCAAAACGCATGATCGCACCGGAGACCCCGGTGCGTTCCAGTCTGGCTTTTATTTTATATCACTACAATTTTCATTCCACAGAAGAACTCCTCTCATAAGCGAATACGGAGGAGTTTTGAAACAGAATTTCTGATTATTTATTTCATATTAGATTTGAAGATGCTTACTAGGCTTTTACAGAATTAGGAACGTTCCAAGAACCGTGAATGAAAGGCACTAAGTTTTTACACCTGATTTTGGAGTTCAGTCTTCTGCGTTCCTGTTGATTGCAGAAGGCGTTGCAACTAATGCTAGAACATCTGAAATCAGAAATGCATCCGAACTGTTAGCTGAAATATGTAAAGAATTTCCCCTTCCCATAGATGAATAGACGGATGGTTGGATGCTATTTTAGACTGAAAGTGAGTTTTGGCGCAAGCGTTGCATCCCCATATAATTTTGAATGAAAACTGCTCGACTGGTACTTAGCAAGCAGAAACGCTCGGAGAGCCGACATCAGCATCATCATCCAGCATCCGCTTCGGCAGTCAAATTCACTTCACACTTCATTTACTCCTCCATTTCTTTTGCAGTCACAAGTCTTCCATGACTTTATCCGCATTTATGTTTATGAAACAGCTTGAGACGCTCAGCATTGCTGGTCTTTGCGATCATCCGTTTCTGAGAGAAGTTGTGCGCCGAAGCACTGAGGTGAAACGTTGGTGTTTCCAGAAGATGGCTGTGCTTCGTCATAATGATTTGTTGATCTGTCTCCAACCCATGAAATACACCGAAATTGGTTCTCAGAGTTCATTTGTACTGCTTTGAACGAATACTTAGCGCCTGTCAGTGTTCTGGATTGGAACTAAGATCGTAGCACATTAAACGACATTTTAAAATCTGAAATTGCAGCCCTTAAATTCCCTTCTTCGAATTTTTGAAATTCGTCTGACCTTGCATATGAGGCCACAAGCTAAAATTTGACTTCGAAAGCAAGTTTCGTGGTATTACGCCCCCCCCCCCC